GATCAACTGGTTTACAATTTTAATTTCAAAACAGTTGCTCAGTGAGCGGTGGGCCTAACGCTCCCCCAACCAGTAAAACGGATTTTTCATTCTAATCGACGGTCTAATCGATTTTTATTCCAAAAACATCATTAGGCACATTACGTTGTTTTAGTGCGGTTAACTATCTAATTTCGGTCGTTATCGCAGAGAGTCTCTGGGAGATATCGAGTGTCGCTTTGCCAAGTTTTCCACCCGGACAAATTTCCACCGTTTCCGCGAACGGAGACATCAATTCGCGCGGAATGCATTCGGCGAACTTACGTAACTTCCAATTAACGATTCGTATAGAAGCGACTCCGGTAAATTAAGTGAGATATTTTAGGGCGATTTAAAATTCGGCGAAAATTCGCCAGTATCGGGTTATAGGATCGAGGAATATCAGTTAATAATAATCGGAGATTGTAAATCACGGGGTTAAGGACGCGATGCGACGGCATACGCTGCTTAGAAGGGAGCTTTTGTACGAAGGGGAAATGGCGCTTTCCATAACAATGGCGTGTCTGATGAAGGAATAATGACCGGGGTATGTGCATAACGTTGTTTATCCGCCCGTGTGTGTGTGTGTGTATGGAGCGGCAATGCAACAGAGTGCTAATTGTTCTGGCGGTCGGGAATACAACCGTTTCGTTTGTGTATCTATCGGTATTTGGACCCAGTTATATATGGCGATCGTTAATTGGGCATACGATGGGGCAATTAAAAGTAATACCGGAGCAACTTTTAATTGTCCGCTCGCGGAAAACAACAAACACAAAAATTCACCAACTTCCTTTTATATCATTATGAATTTACGTCCGTTACTAAACATTTATTTTATCGGAATGGAATCGTTAAAAACTAAAAGTTTTCTCGCACGACTATATATATATCTCGGTCGTCGAGACGCCGAGGACGTTTTAAAGAGTTTTTCCGCCGTTGTAAAAGTTCTCCGCTAATTCGAAATAAAAATTTTCACACCTAAACGACGTTTTCCCTATCGACTCGTTTTTCAATTCATTATCTCGGCCGACAGCTTTTAACGGACGCGCTAAAGTATTCATTTGTTTTTTCTTCTTCTTTTCCTTCGACGGAAAAAAGCTTTTCCTCGACAATAGGAAGCTAAACGGCGAACTTTTATTATGTTTTTTAATCGGAAACCGGGTACGCCATCTCTCATGCGAATGGACAAAAAATATTGTCACAATGCCCTGGATTTTTCTTACTCTAACACCGACGGTTTATTTATATTTTATTATCATTTATAGAGTAGTTTAAAACGTGAATTTTTTGTAACTTTTCAACTTGCCTTTATCATTCTCAATTTTTGTCAGTTTCGATGAGAATTCTGGGAGCAACGAGAAAAGCCGAGAGGCGGCGTTATCATCATTTAATATATTTAATTATGCATTTCTTTGTGTTCCTTGAACAAATTCCGAAATTAAATAGCCCGGGATCCTCTGTCGACTGGCATTTTTATATTGTTCCGCATACCTTTTATTTCAGCATGAAAATTAGATTTTAAACGCAGAGAGCAAAGCTTCAAATATTTGCCCTTGTACTCGCAAATGGGCTCAATCGTTACAATTTTTAATTCGTATACACGAGGTACAAAAAAATCAATACATATTAAAAAGAAAAGACTTATTTAATATAAAAAAAGCACCTATACTTTTTCACCTATATTCAAATGAAATTCTATCAAATTTATCCACGGCAATTCTCGCGCAACTTCAACCAAATCACAATTATTTATTCGACAAACACAGAATTCCAAATTATCCGACGTTCGGACGATAAATTTTCGACGTCCTTCGGGAGGTCCCCCGGCATTTTTTTTTGTCCGAGTCCTTAAACCAAGTTCGACGCGACGGCAGAAAGGCCGAAAAGAAAATTTCATCGCATCATTAAATTTTCCGAGGCGATTTTTCAGTTCACCGCCATTGCAAGAGCCCAGACATAAAGAGACTTTGAAGTCAGATTCCTGCTTGTAATTGATCGTTCCACTAGTAAGCTAAATGAGATTGCAAGATATGAGGTAGAGAGTGCTCGCCTGCACGATAGTATATCATTACTTTTTTTACTAGGAAAAACGGCGGAAGCGAGGAAAATTGAATTTTAATTTAATGAAATTTAAGATGTAATATAGTTTATTTTAAACAGTAGAATTTATTAACTAACAAAAACTAGTAAAATAAATTTGTAGCTTATAAAAAAAAACACAAAAATATATCGAAAAGTAACGATACTGTATTTAGGTGAGACAATAATGAGAAATCAATGCTCAATTTGACAATACTTTCAGCGTTAATCTAAAATCGATTTTATACATCGTCGCAGACATAATTTAGAAACGGGAGAAAAAAATAATGAAAACACAGAGAAAAATCGTAGGAAAGTATATACCCTACACCAGTAGAGCTGTCACAAGCGGACGTGCAATTAGCCGAAGAGAAATTAGAGGTAATCAAACAAAATCACATTCATTATCGTCGGTATAAGCCGAATTTATTTTATTGCTTATCGTAGCCATTTTTGGTTTGTGTACATTGTGTCGGAACGATTACTGTAAAATTTCGTCGAAGAAAAAATTTCAATTGCGCTCGCTTTGACTATTTCAATGACGGTTGCTTTATCGAATGCACGAGAATCGAATCGACGCTTTATCTTAATTAATTCGTCCGTTGATTAAGTAAAAAATCAGTCCGTTTGCGCAATTTGCTAAAAAAAGTTAAAATATTGAGATTCTTTAATTATAAAAGTTATTTTTTTTGCAACAGATGATTTTATTTGTTCGTTATCGCAATGATTGATTTTTGCAAGCTAGCAGTAATATAAAATCAATATTCGTGTAATAATAATTGCTAATGAATTCATCCATATTTAGCATATATCATTGTGACAATATTCTCGATTTTAATAGTCACATCAATTTTCCAACGAATTAAAGCCATCGAATTAATTATGGCCCGTCGATCGAACCTTCGGAGGTTTAAATTTTCCACCGCATTAAAAAATACCTTTAAACATATGAAAATTATCTATTAATAATTTCAACCCGATTGCATATACGAAATTTATTCTCTCGGCTCTTGTGATTTTAACCGAGAGAGCGTGCGAGAATTTCCATAATATAAAAAGTCCAATAAAGGATGATTTCATTAAGCTAGCAAAATGCAACTGCGGAAAATTACTACAATATTTTCAACAGCAGAATTTTCGTTTAAACATCATTTATTAAAAAAATCTATTCATCGATAGAGCAACGTATACGCGTATAAACATCAAAGGAAATCGTAAAAATCGTTTTCTTTACGATTTGGATCGCGTGTTCCCGGGACATTCAACAATGCCGGGGCTTTAAAGAGAAGTGTAAATTTCCTTACGCGTGAGTAGACAAATTTACATCCAACCATCTGAGAAACTCCTGCTTTATAGCGTCGGAACGAAGCGCGAGTCGGTTGGGATAAACGCGAAAAATTGCGAAAGAAACAAGAGGAATAATAGAGGAGAACAATAAAAAAAAAGTGGAACGAAAGAAAGAGAACGAAGAAAAAGGCCTTGACGCGTTTTTACAATGTAACACACCGCATAAACGACTTCCGTCGTTTCGTCCCGCCCGTCGCAAAAATACAAATGCTGAGGGCCAGAAAAGTTTTCCGCGACAATTTTTGCTTTTTCGCACTTTCAAACGGACTTTTTAACGAACTTCTTTCATCCGGAGAAATTTTTTTGGCGTCGCTTAAGGAGGATTCGTCCAGTCGTCGACAACTTCCTGCGTTGCCGAGCCAAAACAAACGTTTATTTCCTTTTCAGCGACAAAAAAAATTTAGAAGCTATAAATACTGTTTGAATTTAAATTTTACAAACAAATTTATAACCGCCGAATTGCGCTGTAATTGCAATTACCAACCGACCAGGTTTGCATTCGCAGAGGAAACCGGCAGATGCAGAAACCGCATTAATTACATTTACTAATAACGCGGTTTCGGATGATATTTAAACGGGAATTAGGCTTTTTATTAACAAGCGAATCGACTGATTCCGGGTTCGAACGATACCTCGTTCGGTTAAAATAATAAAAATGCTTTACAACATGGAACCGAATTCACGTTGAAATCAATTATTCCGCAAGGTATTACGTTCCATATATCAGCGAAATCTATTAATTAAATCAATTTTAAAATCTATAACAATACATAACGTAAACAAAACGCATATACGTGAATATTCGATTTCTATTGCTTCCAAATGATAATTATCGTTCGCTTTTCGAACCATTATAAACCGAATATGTACACCACCATTTCGCAGATTATGTTATTCAAACCTATTCTAATTTACATACACAATATGCCTGCAATTTTGAGGGAAACAAAAAAAATACTCGCTATAAAAGAGAATTTTAAAGAGCAGCGTAAAATCCGAAAATTTTATAAAGGTAGATAGATTTCCACTATTTAATTTACAATTTTTATCAAAAAATTGGCGAATAAATCTAGCATCGCCGTCCACCAATATTTAAAAAGTACTTCAAAAATTTTTTTACGAAAAATAAATAATTTCGTCGATAAAAATTCCGCTTCCGTTATTCCAAAATGAAACTATTTCCGTCCATGCAGCTTTTAAATTGTAACAAACGGCCCCGGTCGCGCGTGCAATATTTAGCGGAAAGACTCGAAATGCTCGGGGGGTCAAAAACTACTCTAGCGCGGACTTCGAAAACACATAAATAAATTAAAAAAATATCGCTCTGCGACCGACGCTACATCCGCTCCCGCGTCCACTTCAAAACAATGGACGAGCCAACCTCAATAATGCAACTGCTCCCAATCAAGATTAATGTCTATTATACACACTCGCCTAAGTGTTGATTCGCTTCAATATTTAATCGACCAAGCGAAATAAATACCTTATATACCTACCCCGATGTATTCTATAAATAAGTTATGTTGTAGATAACATTACAAAAAAAAACTTACCGCATTGGAATGCGTCTGATCGGTCTTCAGCTCCCTGTGATTGGAATATTGCACGTAGACGGCCCGACCTCTCAATTGGGCGATGCAATTGGAAAAATAATTGACCATCGTGGTGGCCGATTGCTCGTCGCCCATTTCCAGAAAAGCCTGGTTTTTCCCTTTCAATACCAAAACGTTCGTCACCCTGCCGAAGGGCAGGCCCAAATGTATGATTTCTGCTTCGGAAACGTCACTGGGAATGTTCCTAATGTGTATCACCCTCGACGGTTTGCCTACGTTCTGTTCTAGTTTTACCTGCAATCGGATTTAATTAAGCGAATTACCGAATGATAATAATAGCTCGCATCTTAATAGAAACGCAAGAAAGTTATCGCGGGAGCAAACTTCATCGCGGAACCAATCGAAAATTCTCATTAACGGCAGTTCGTTAATTATCTTGTACATTGTTCGAACAAGAATGTCGTGCGCTGGCCGGCGGTTAACTATTGTACAACATCTCCCCCGAAAGCCGATGAAATTCATTGTTTTCGCAATAAACAGAGGACCTAAAGCGAAGGATACGAGCAACAAATTTAAAACTAACAATAGCCCGTCGCATCAACTTTTCATATTCCGTTTAATACACGACAACAAAACCGGGGCGAACTTCGACGAAACTCTTTTTTTCGCCTCTATTGCGCCAACAACGGGTCTCCTCTGGATGAGCTGCTAAGATAAAATCGCTTCTCCGATCTCCCGCCGTAATAAAATACACAATAGACAATGGCCGCCAAGTTTTTCGCATTATCAACTCTCGGTAACGAGTGAACGAAAATCGAAACAACTTCGAAGAGCAACTTTCCCGTCGTCGTTATATAAACTCATCGCGTCGCGCGTTTCGTGCCATCGCACGGAATTGCAATCTTATCTATAAATAACTACATACAACTTTTTCGGCGCTACCGAAAAAAATCTTCGAATCCCAATACTGTTAGTACAACTCACTAGAATAATAAACGTATACAGGTAGTAGTAACAAAGAGACGAGAAATACACATTCACTCTTGCTCAAAACTTGTTTGTCTTACGTTAGACGGCAAATACGAGCAAAGACTTAGGGTACATTCGGGTCCCTAGCCATTGTCTGTTGTGTACATAAACCGCATGATCGATTAGATCGTTATAAAGGTGATTGATTATAGACCGGAGAGAGTGTATGGGCGCAACGAATTAGAGACGAACCGGCCATTGTTTATACGCTGGACGTTCGCGCACGCAAATCCACATTTCGACCCCGGACAAATAACTTCGAATGGCGAACCTTCAATTAATTCTTGGTTCGACAATATTCCGGAATCGGTCTAATTAGAGTTACTGTGCGGATTATTTGTTTATGCGCGTGCGATCTTCGGGTTTCGTGTCTTTATACAAATGCGAAATACACCGACCGAACGAGCCAATTGATCACGAGAAATGAACATCAAACAGTCATATTATATTATCAGTTGTCAGTTCGTTGGATCTTATACACGGTGGAGAAGCCAAATGAGATATTTATGCGAAAATGTCGATCACACAATTGCAATATCTATCCAATTAAAATTGTTAGTAAACGAATCGAGCGAAATAAAAAAACGGGCAATTTCGAATTTCCCTGGCTAAATAAATAAGTCCTCTCCCGAAACTCCGCGTTTCACAAGCGTTCCGGGCGGAAAATTGATTGTGTGTAAAACCTCGACGAAGCAAAGCAAAACTCGCGGCGTTTCCCCGGAAGATTTTCTCCTCCATAAAGACGGAGCGTAGAAGGACAAAGAATCAAGGGTCGGGGTGTAGGGAGCGGCGCAGATATTCAATTTAATTTGAATGAGAGAGAGCCATTCGGACGCGGTTTCAATAGAAAAACCGCCGCCGGTAATGCGTCTGCATTATGGACGTCAGCCGGTCGCTATTTTACCTTGTATAGCGATACAAATGGCCTCTCCCGCAAACTGCCGTAAATAAGGAGTCGCTATATTAATTACGTTAGGTATAAAGCGAACGCGAGAATTATGGGAAGAATCATCGCGATGCATTATCAACGGGACAATTTTGTATCGAAGGCGAGAGAGGGCACTTACTTTTTTGGCATTTTCTTGGTTGTTGTTATCAGCGTGCGGAGCAGAAGGAGCCATGACTGATACGTTCGATTGGGAAAGCAATTCGTCGCTACCTCTCTGGAACCAAAATAAAAAAATCATTAATTATTATGCTTAAAAAAACTACCTAGTTTGTAAATAACAGTGGACAAAATTGACAATATTATGACTCTAATAAAGCACATATTTGAACCGCCCGATTTCTACTTAGTATAGCCACAGGGAAAGGTAACGAAAGCCATTTATCCTCCATGACAAACCGCTCCCCGTCTTCCACTTTTTCTTCCTCGTCCGCTTCTTTTTACTCGTCCGACGCGCCACTTCGAGGGATTACAATCGAAAACAAAACCGGAAAGGAACTCGGCTGGCACATTACATCGCCCGCCATTCAATTTACCTTCGCGCCGAGCACTTCGCCTCTCGCCATTCCGATGGCCGATGAAGAAGAAGAAAAAAAAATAATCGGGCCGAATGTCGCGGGGGCGAGAAGAATCTCCGGCGGCCCACCCGGCTCGAGCAACATCAATTTCTCACCTTCGCCTCGACTTATTAGACTCGAGGGCTGGATTTGCCCGGATATATCATCGACTAAATCCAATATGGGCAGAATAAGTAATGCCCTTTCGTGCGGCTCCGGGTGTATAAATAAAACCGGCCGGAGTTTGTCGGTAATCCCGACAACGTATACGCCGGGATAATTCCGTTATGTGCGGGCCATAAAATATTTTCGAAATTTTAATGGCTCTTAAAGAGTTGGTCGGAAGGGCGGATGAAATATTTAAGGGTCTCTCCTCCACTGAAACGGCAACTTCTCGGGGAGCCACCGGGAGAGGGATATATATACGAGGAACAACCGACCGCAAACGGTAATCATTTTTACCTCTGCGTAATGTCGTAATAAATTCTCCGGCGCTTTGACGTGACGTCGACAAATTATTTCAAGAAGGGGCTCTGGTTGGTTTTCCTTTCGGAAAGATGTTATTTCTTTTCCGGAAGGGCACAAGAAAAAGCGTTCATGATTTAATGCAAGTTTGTAGCACATCATCCTTTTAAATTCGTTAGACTCGACGAATATTTAATAAACACGATGGAATTAATCTGGTTTTCAAATAATTTCTGACTACACCTCTGCGCTTAATTCCCGCCTGTGTCTCGACTAAATAGGGTAGAACTTACGGTGCTTATAAATGTAAGAGTGTAATGCTCTTGATACGCCGCCGTCGCGCCCGTCATTATATTTGCTGCAGTAAAATCCGTTAAGAGCCTTTTGTGTTTTCATGAACGGAAACACACTCGCCGGGAAAACTCGACTCCCTTCGACGGTTTCCAAGCTCTTCGATCTCCGATTCGACCCGTTCAGTCATTTACGATCACTCCAGATTATATTAAGAGTCGAGTAAGTACGGTTTGCGGTCACTTACCGAGCGAGTAAAATCATATTATTTTTACGATATTCAGTAGACGAAGTGCTTCTTTAGACGATCTTCTTGGGCGATTTCAAAGTAAAATATAGCACGAGAATTGTAATGGTAATCAGTCAAAATAAAATAAACGCGAGGCATCTTTCACCTTCCGCGCGCACAAAACAAGGCATTTCAAACAGCATATAACGGCGCGATAAAGTTATTTTTTTTTCCTTTCGCTCGCCTTTGTTATTTTCCATCTTTTCGCATTACAAATTCGTTACAAATTTGACGTGTCAAAGTTCAGTTCCTCGAGCAAACAACTTGAAAGAGTATTCATACATTAGCGTATGAATGGGGTCCATTTGGGACGGGAACAGCCATCGGTATTATTCAAAACATTCCGGAAAGTGGGAATATTGAAAATGGAGTTGAGTCGAAGCTTTTCGCATAAGTATTTCCGTGAAAAAGGGAAAAATAAACGAACAAAAAAAAAGATAGAGAATAGATGAGTCAGGACGGAAAGGTGTAAGTGGATAGTTTGCAATTTTTACACTTATAATGATCGAATAAACTAGTAAATTTAAGGAAAATACTCCATGTAAAAATAATCCCTTTCAATTTGGTAGAAGAAAGTCCTCATTCTAGTTAGAGTGGAACATCCGTCTGTTTCGATTTCACGACCCCAGCGAAATCTTACCGTCGTATAAGTGCAATTACTAAAGGTAAGGAAGAAAAATCTGCCGTAAGAGACACACGAGACACTTCGGATTTATATATTGTTTTAAAAATTGTTGCGGATCGTTTCCCACACAGCGCGCGTTACTTTATTTAATCAGGCGGAAAACGTACCTCGTTTCACGATAGCATCAGTTTCCAAAAAAAAAAAATTATTCTATATACCAAAAGTAGGTAACGCTCTGTATGCATACAGTATCGCTCCAATCTCCTCTTCAAAATTCCATCTATACATCGCGCACATATTTTCTTTGTTTCCCGTACGGAAACACATCATCTCTTATTCGGCATGCAGAAAACTATTCAGAAATTTATGGGATTTGCAGAGTTACCGAGTAGATAGATACATGTATAGCCCAGCTGGAGGAGTGCGTGAATACACGAGAAGAGAAACCGAGAGTCCTGCACGTTTCCACGTTTCGATATGAATTATTTCACCAAAACATCATTGTTCGAAGAAGCTTTATACAAAAACAAATTAACTTATTAGTAGACGTATCGGAGTAAATATTCCGATAAGAATAAGGGATGTTCTCTTAATTAAAATTATCTGTATATATAGATTAAATATAATGGTGGGTATAAATAAAACAGCGACTTTCGCAACTCGGAAAATGGATCGACATAAAAAATTCAGGAAACGCAATACGCTGCCGACACCTTAACAACTTTTTTTCCATCCGCTTATTCCTCTCTCTAAGGCGCTACAAAATTTAAGATGTTACTCAATCTTGATGGATATGCGACGGTCGCGCCTCGACGAAAGTATAATTTACATGAAAAACAATTCGAAAATAACGCCGGGCAACTTTTCGGCGATGCGAACGGGCGAGAAGGGCGCCGCGCGAACTAAAAGTGTTTACGCAAAGTTTTAAAGGGATTTTAAATTTTCTTAGTGCGAACGCGAAAATACGTTAACGTAGTTTGATGGAAGTTCCGTCGCGCGAAGAAACTTTTTTCGCTACCTACTTTTAATAAACAGCGGAAATTCCGGCCAAGAAAAACGTCGCGGGCTTTATAACTTGCTAGAATCACTTTTTATCCTACTATAGAGAGGTGGAATATTACGAGAAAACGAATTTATACGTTTGTATTACGTGTCGCTTCGACACCACTGTTTTTCCTCGAATTCAGTCGAAAATAAATTCCCCGGATTCGGCTTTCCAGCCACTTTGTCTCCGAGACATCGCCACGGAGCGCTTCATTTGCATCTGTTACACCGACGCCGCCCAACCGAGGATTTCCCAACCACCTATATAACGCCACTCTCGTTTCGATACTGGGAAAAATCAACAAAATAAAAGAATATTCCGTTTGCTTATTTCTTTTCCCGCCGTACGATATATTCCGATTTCGACGTCAAGCCGCAAAAAATAAGTAGATTTGAATAATTCGTCGAAAAGAAGAAGAGATATATTTAAAGATTATACGCATAATGTCTTTGCTTTTTGTGAGATACAACATCCAAAGAGTAGCTATAAAACTCAAAATATTTACAATTCAAAAAAATACTGAGTTAAGACCAGAAATATTATTAAGACGAAGAAAGATTATTAATTCTGCATTAATTTTGCATCTACCTGTATACTTAGGACTGTATACTTTACCATAAATGGACATCCTGTATAGTGAATGTTAATTGCGGAATGATAAGAAAATAATAAAACAATAAGAACATTTTATATCCTATTCTATACGTAATTAATTAAACAATGAATTATATTATAATGAAATTTACCGGAAATAATGTATATCATCAAAAAATAAAAAAAATTAAGTGTTTGTGAAACCATACGTTATTATTTTAAATTTTCATCTAAGTATGCTATTTAATTACAATTTACCACCACCCCAAGTGAGGTTATGTTTAAGCAAACAACAAACAAAAATCGTTAGATAAAATCTTACCCAATACCGCAAACTCCTCTTTCTGTTAATAGGTGAATTATTTTTCATCTTTCTAAATAAACTTTTGCTATTTCACTAATTATTAATTACCACTCGCTGTAATCGTTCGGAAATTTATTTGGATAATTCAACACATCAAGAAATGTCAAACTAAACGTCAATCGAACACTCGAAAATCGAGTGCCTACTTAGATGAAAACCGTAAATAGTAGCAACAACGTCAATCATTACCCTAATTGAATCGAAAAATAAAAAAAAAGAAGAAAATCGATTCCAATCGAATTTACTATTTTCCCCAAACGACACAAAAAGTGAAAGACATAAAAATAAAGGACGATTCGATAAGGGCTTTAACCTAATTTCAAAGGATAATTCCGCATCCAATCTATTAGATATGTACAGAATCTAATAAAAAGAGATGAAGGTAAAAGTAGTATGACGCATAAATAAACCAAAATAACAAACTCTTTCGATAGCAAATCGATGCTAATTTCAATTAATGGACGCGGGGGAACGAACGCGTCGTCATCCCGTTGGAGGATCCGCATCAAAACAGACATTAGGCGTCGACAAATCATTTCGACGGCAAGACGAAAGGCGAGCGTCGCGACGCGGGGCGACGCGACGTCTATTCCCCGAACGCCGTCCCAGGAATTAGCCGGGAAACTTCCCGAGACAGGAGCGACACATGCCCGAACGGGAACATTTACACGATTCATAAATTTCTCCTCCTGTTCGTAGTTACCCGAGAAGTTCGGTAATGATGCGAATGTCGCCCTGCGTTATCAACGTGATAGATTACATCGATATCTACGCCATGGAAATATAAAACTACTACGTTAAATGTTTGTTTCTAATCGTCGGAAATTCTCGTGTAGCATAGACAGTTGTGAAATTTAAACAATCCCAAACCTATGGTCGGAAATATGGCGCAGTAAATATAAATTTGTTATGTAAAAGGAACGGCGGAGGAGTCTGAGAATACCCGATAACATTGTGTTTCGAGGCAAATATTCGACAGGTATCCGCGATATTCGCCAAATCCCGCGGAGGGTTTAAATTATTAGGGAGGTTTTTCGTTTTATTCGCATTCGTATCGAGGGAAACTCCGCACTATATACGCCCTGTCCCTGTATAGCTTTCGCTCGCTTTCTCCCGTTGAATGCGCGTTTAGCGAAGAAGGAGTAAGAACGGGCGATTGTAATTGGGGATATTCCGAACAGGGGGTTAAAGTGTGTTTAATTAAGCTCTATTGAAATTTATGCAATGAATCGGAAATAATTCGCTCATAAGCTTTAACAGCAGGATTAAATTGCTTAAATAATATGTCTAAATAATAACCGAATAATTTGATAACACAGCATATAACATTTGAGAATGTACATTAATCATTTTTGAAATACGTTTTACAACCCCTCAGAAGAGCAATTTGTATTCAATTGACTTCAAAAAGACTATACACTTCAAGCAACTTTTTTCCCATTAGTTCTGAAAAATTCGAAATCAACTTTCTCCTATTGATATTTTTTCGGGGAGTTTGTCGCCCCCCGCTCGATGTCGGCGGCGTTATTCAAATTTATATGGAAATTCGGCGTCGGGTTAAGTGCAGATCAATGGAGTTTATTTATTCGGAAAGGCGGAACGGCAAAACTGGGAACCTCGACAGATATTAATTTACTAATCGTCTTAAATCTTGCTGACGAAATATCGAAACGTAAAACCGTAAATACGCGAAATTCATTTCCTGTCGTTTAAGAAAAAAAGGAGGAAACGAAGGAGGACTGGAAATAGCCGATAAGGGCGCTTCGATTAGTATTGATAATGCATTTGCAAATCATTTCGTTGGGTAAAAGTTTGAATTTATTATACCTGTAGTTTTTGCTTTGTTTTGAAATAAACCAAACAGTTGTAGATTGTATAAATATAATAAAATTATACAAATAAACCTATAAATTAAATTAATTTGAAATATATAAAATACTTGGTACTTATTAATTTACTTTTTACTTCCTCCAGTTTTCCCACCTTTTTCATCAGTTTTACTCGATTTCTTTTTCTCCGTCGGCTTTTTATCAGCAGGTTTATCCACTTTCTTATCAGCTGGTTTACCGCCTTTCGCAGCCGCTTGTTTTTCCGCCTTAACTTCACCAGGTTTTTCACCCTTCTTCTCCACTTTTCCCTTTTGCTCGGCAACTTTATCCGGTTTCCCTTTGTCCGCTCCCGGCGGCGTTTTCGCGTCTTTCTTGATTTCTTTCTTCTCGGCCGGTTTGTGGGCGGTTTGCCACAATTTCTTCAGCTCTTCCTCTCTTTCCTTGTGCAATTTCTCCTCCTCCGCCAGCGTGATGGGATCGATTTTGGGATCCGCGAATTTGAACGTGGGAAACTCGGTCATATTGGCGCCCTTCTGATCGGCACCGTACGCCCTATCAATTCTGGCCAATTCGATTTTTAATTCCTCCAACAGCTCCGGCTCGGGCTCGACCAGCTTCCTGCCGTTGTCGCTCTTCTCTTTGTACTCCCGCAATTTGTCCAAAAATAGTTGTTGGATCGGATCGATTTTCGGTTTTTCTTTGGTTTTGCGGCCGCAGAAGCGTCGCGTTTGGACGTTGAAATGAAATCTGCTCGCCGAGATTATACTCCTTATATTCAGATGGAACATTCTAACGAATTTAAAAAAATATATTGGAAGAGTTGTATTGGTAACGTCAAAAATACGTCTGTTTGATTCAAAATGTAACTAGTCGATAAATAAACGATTCTTCTTATTTTTTTATAGCGAGATCGATCTGTTACTTTTCGGTTATTAAATCAAATAATAGCAAGAGTTTAAAAATGTTTGAGTTTATTTGAACTTGCCTACGGAGAATTCGGATTATCCCGAAACGGAAAATTCGAGCGAGGGCGAAAACCGGGGGGTTAGTAGCTCGAAGGCTATAATATATATGGTTACAAAGAACCTCAGTAAGATATGTATCCTTTGAGTTTTAAGCAAAACGTTCCTTATCAGATTGAGACTCGGTTTCTCGGGTCGTTTTAACATCCGTTTTCATTAGCGAAACCATAACCTCTCTTTATTACTCTAACGTACACGAGAAAAAATAGTCTCGAGAAAATTAACTCAGCTAACATTAAATCCAAATTAGAGAAACACGAAACCCCCTCGAATTTGAATATTAAACAAACCATTACTGCGTAAATAATTACCGTTGAAAACGAGAAAATATTTTGGCTTCTCGATTCTGGTTATTTTTAACGAAAAAAAAAATGAAAATTACGGTCCGAATTGAACAAAAAAAATCCGGCAGTTTATCTATTATCGGGGATGATCCGGGAACGCTTTCATCGAAAATCGCGATTCATTAGAGAATGCAAATCCGGACCCGGAACGCGTCAAAGTCGCGCGTTGCTGAAAAAAAAAGCTGCGCCGCTTTTCCCCCGCCGGAAAATCAAAAAGAAAATATCGCAATCATGTTAATGCGTTCCATTAGACGCGAAACGTACATAATACGCGCCCCGTTTTTCATGAAAGGTTGATTTATCTTTCGGGACGGTTTTCACTCCGGCACCGAAGCCCTTCGAGTGGATACAAACAATTCCGGATCCAGCTTTTCCACCACTTTCGGCTCTAATAGTTAAATTAAACACGAACGTACACAACAAAATAATTTTCCATTCCTCCGGCGTTTTATACCTCATTTTCGATTAGGTATATCTAAAGCAATTCATCACGGCGGTTGAAGTGATACCGATTTCGCGCGAAAAAAAAAATCGAAGTGTATCCGATGATAAATGCGGGGCCATTAAGGTCGAAATATCATCGGCGGAAAAGCGCGGCGTCTCTTTCGCTCCGGCGCCGCGACGCCCCGCCGTCAAATGAATTAAACAAAAATAAAATATGTCCGCCGAAGGAAAGTCTCCCGCAACTTTTCCAGTTAATCATCGGAGAAGATAGAAACGAGACGAGGGCGAGGAGAAGGGCGCAAGGGCGGGTTGAAATTAAATTCCACAACATCGCCTGATATTTATTTATACTTTTTACTCGGGACGATTTTTATTTCTTATAAACGTTTTAATACTGAAATGAATGCGATTTATCCCGTAGGTAAATGTGTAGTGGAAAGACGATTTTCGAAGCTCTCCAAAAGAGGGAAATTCGTTCGGAAAAGCCGTTTTCCTTATATTTAAATCTCCGCATGTCCGGTTTCCTTATGTATCCTGTTCGTTTTGCTAATGGCCTTTTCTGATCCGCATGACCAATCCTATAATTCTCCTGCTGCAATCTTTTTTGATCTGCTTTGCTTGCTATTCAGATCGCATCGTTATAGGGATTATTCCCTTTTTTTCCGAGAGAAAAATTGAAGATAAAAGTAGGACGCCCGAAAAAAAAAATGCGAATCCAGGTGTAAAAACCTCCGGAGAGGCATTCGAATTGCGAAAATTGGACGGAATGAAATTTTCATCGCGAAATTTATTTCGAAAATTCAACAAAACTTCTACAGGGTGGATTCGAAAATTAATTTCTACATAAATTTTTTAACCATAATGAAGATTATTCTTTAATCGGCAATTTTTATCATTTAATCAATTCGAGTGAACATTAGAGCTGTTTTCGCCGAGATTTGAGTAACTTCAAAAGTTTTTCATTACTAAAGGCAACCGCAATTCCTGCGAAGCGGGTCAGGAAAAATTCATTTCGCTCGTTCGTGATTCTTAATTTAACGAAACAGAATATTAAAATACAATTACTGGAGTAGTCTCTCTCTAGGAAAAACTTAATATATTTTTTAAATTTCTCCTGTTTTCCTTTACGGTTTTTTTTTTTATTTCCAGTTCCGGGGGAGTTTTCCGCGGATTTATAATCAACTTCTATTAAAATTAGCCGGAGGTTTTCTGGCCTTTTATATAGTTAAGAATGCTTGAATTATAATTGGAATATACTTTGTGGTAGAATTATTCATGCCCCAAGGAAATTTTAATACTCGCGGCTAAAAGGGTTGTTCGAGCAACAGTTGGGAGAACCCGAGTTAATTTTTAATATTTTTTTCCTCGATCCGTGCCCGTTCTAATTGGCCTACGAGAGCCGCACTTGTCGACCCAACAAAAGAATCTTAATTTCATTATTGAATGGAAAAAGAACCCGCCAGGTACGTGAATGAGCAATTCAATTTCTCGTCGCAATTAAATTTGTTTAAACATTAACATTTTCGGGCAAAGAAAATTTTTCCGTTTCACCGAAAGGATATTATGACATTTATAAACCGGAGATTCCGTACACAAGACGTTCGGAGTTTCTTTTTCTCCCGGTGAAAAACAACATTAATTGGTAAAAAGAATGGAATTTAATTAAAAGAAAATGAGCCTCTGCAGCGTTTTACACCCAGCTCGCGGCCACAATTATATAACTTTTACGAGGAGCTCGTCCTGTTCGTTTTTACTGTTTTTTTTAAAACGGCGGTTACGCGAAAAACGGAACGCTCGGAGGATAATAACGAGACGCAGAAATACCTTTATTAAGACGAAAGACTTTCGATTAATTAAATCGCATTTAACCGGCGCTATATTTATTAATAATTTAGGCGGTTAGGTCTGCGATTGAGCGGTCAATAATCAATATTGTTAAACCCCGCGAACTGTATACATGTCGGACTGTCGCAGTAATGAGCTAGTTGTGTGCGGTGTGTTAATCATATTAATACAATGTAGGAGATTGCACAATCGGGCAAAAGCCGGCGGGTCATGCAATTACCGGTCATAATCTAACCTAATTAAATTCCTCTATAACTTCGGTTAAGAATCCCTCCAAATTTCGCAGACCATTTTAGAGCGATTACGTTGCTCGAAATGAATTCTTCCACGTTTCTCGAATTCGTCGAATTTCTATTCCGTAGGTCTCTAATTTCTATAAACAACGGAGTAATTCCGAGAAACAGACAATAACACGCCGGAGCGAACAAGTCGAGCACATGTCCGCCATGTGAATCGAACGCATGGAGAAAAAAAAAAAACGTTTTACAGACGTCGCTTTGATTTCGATTGCCGCGTTAAATATAGCGAGGCTTTGATTCCCAAACAACCAAACATTTACTATTAAAAGTTTATTTTTAAACCGAAACACATTGCCTCTCTAACGTCTATTTATTCCTTCTTCTTATTCAACATCAAAACAAATTATTATACGCGTATTATTTTCGTAATTGATCATTGACAGAATATTAATAACTTTAAGTTATTTTGGCATGTACCAAACAGAATTGCGTCAGGCTAACATTAATAATTACACCAAATTGTAGTGGAATTAAAAACTTCTAGAGAGTGTACTCATAATTACATATATAGTACTATGGGTACCCTTAAACAGTCAAGTGTAGGTATTATTTAATAGGCTGCATCTCTAGTTGATGCAATAATTACATTGCATGCCGTTTTCTTCTCGAAATTCCGAGAAAATTGAGAATATGCAAAACGTCTCGCTGCGTTAGGTAGGCACTCGCTCTAAAACGTAAATGGCTTCATACTGTGCTCGTTCACCATTTCGCGAGACTAATGAGACTTTTGTTGGCGGTTATTACCGTCGTTATTTCGTTTTACTAACAATGGGTTATTATAATTTACTATATTTAACGGATTATTATTTGCAAATGAACCGAACGTTTAGAACGCGTTAGAATGGAAGGAAGTGCGCGATTTCGTTCTTGTTCCGCCACCGATTGTGTTAGAGGTTGTGTGTATAAATAAAACTAAGGGATCGATCAGAACAAAACGAGTTTAATATTTGGGCAAATAAAAATGAATTGAACTCGTGCAGCGATATCGAATTTGCATCGAATGTATCAAAGAGAAAACGTATAAAATCCGATTGAGATTAGGCCATGCATCTTTTTAAGATTCACATTCAATATACTGACAGCGCACGTAAATAGTGAAGTAATGTGCAAGAGACCGCATCCTTACATCATTCGGAGATGCAATTTCTTAGTGGAATTTATGTGGAACATCGGCAGAAATCATTACCAAAACATTCCTTATACCAACGAAATATTTATCGCAAAATTATAGGCATCTTTATTACATTATATCAATTTAGGAACTCACCCGGTATGTACAAGAAGGTGGCGATTCGCCTTGGCCTAACGCGAATAAGAAATAAATCTACGTACTACGTGATTTTTCGTTTTTCCTTTTCCTCCTCTAATTACAAATCTTGACCCCCATCATCGACAGAGGAATGTAGAAAAGGCTGTTTTTGACTTCTTTTTTTTATGTGTTTGCGTCGTTGATTGCGGTCGTTAAATTAGAAGACTCCGGGGCAATCGATGTGAGGCGTAACCCAAGAGCGGGGATATAGCGTTTTATTACCGTCTGAATTATTAATTTCAACGGTTGCGGCGTGTGTATCTTTCCCAATTTTTTTTTTGTATCTTCCATTTTCCCGTTTAATATGGTTAATATTTTCGCAATATTAAATCCGGCAACTAATTTAGCCGTATGGAATATTTACGTATGTATAACGTCATGGACGTTTAGCGTAAACTAAACTGGAGTATTAAAATAGAACGAACGCGCTTCGAGTGGATAAAAGCGGCAGAAACTCGGTCAGAAATTGAAACCTAATTACACCAACTCATTACGCGCATAAAATACATATAGTACATCCGTTTATCATGAAAACATCAGCACTTATCACTTATCAAGTCGAAAACAAAAAGATC